ATTTTTACATATTTATTATTTTAAAAAATAAATTAAAATAACATTTTAAATTAGATTTATATATATTAAATATAAAAAATTTGCAAAATCATTACATTAGAATATAATTTATTATTTCATTTTTAATTATTATTATAATTATTTTAATAATTTTATTATCATTAACTTTGTTAGGGTTTGAACCTAGGCAGACTCGAATACTCACCTCTATATCAAAGTAAAATAATTATTTAATATTATATAAAAATATAAGATTTTATTTTACAAATTTTCAAATAATTTTTTTCTCAAGAATGTTGACAAATAAAATATGTCACTCATTCGCTTTAGTGTTTTTTTATACAAATTTGAACAACTAGCATTATACTACCTCGATAGATAGACTAATATTACACTATCGACTTGAGAAGAAAAACGAATTTATTTTTATAATCAAACTCGTCATATGGAACGTAAAATCCATCCCGAAGAATAAAATTCATATTCATCTATCATTTTGATTATGAAATTAACTAAGGATAAGTTTTAATCTGTGTTTAAAGCTTTTTTCCACTACTTTAGTAAACTAAAGTAAGGTGGTTCTAGACTCACTATATATGCATGCCTTTATACTTAATTACATCTCCATAGAAAAAAACTATTCATCAAAGTGAGGATTAAAATTTTTAAATATATAAATATTTGATTAAATTTTTGAGTTTACGAATCTACCAACTAGGAGAAGATTTAGATTTAAATTTAATTTGAATTTAGAATTCACTTAACCCTCCTAAATAGGAGATACTAATGTGTGTATAATTTAAGTTTATGTTTGAGTGGAGTGAGCTGTCAGTTAATATCCTAAACACAATTAATTGTTTTATGAATATAAGATTTGATGGCTCTAATCCTAAGGAATCAATGATGTTAAATTCAAAAATTTTAAATAAAAATTGCATAATATGTAATTGCATCTAACTAGCGTTATGTATAATGTATGAAGAAAATGTATAAATAAAATATTTATTCATTTATTTGAAATAAAATATAACCAAATATCTTTACATAAGGTGACCAAATTCTACCACAACATATTTGGATTTCTACTCTTATATATATAACAACATTCTTGTGTATTGAATTCTCGGCTCCCAAAATTTGTCACTTGTACTCTTAGAAATTTCATCAATATCTCATGTGTGAGTAAATTGTTTTTTACTTTTTTTCAAGTGATAATTTAAGCAATATGATTTTTTTTTTTTTTTGCAACATTTTAGAGGCACATGTTAAAGTGACTATGCTAATGAGGCTAGTAGAAACATGTAGAATATAGAAGCACAAGAGCTTAAGAAGAAGAAGAAGCAAGTCAACGTCACTATGTATTGATTCACACACCTATATAATGAGTACATGAGGTTTATATACAAGCATCGCTATACAAAGTATTGTAGAGGAAACCAATTAGATGTAAGATGAGGATGCCTCAGATGGTTAGCAAGGAGTGACTTAGATGAAGTCTGCAGAGAATCTACTGATGTGTTCAGAGGAAGTGGAAATGTGATGATAGTGAGTGTGTCAGCTACTTGCTTATCATTATATATTTATATGGCTTATCACTGCCCCTCAAATTGAGGATCCAAAGATTAGCGAGTCAATTTGCTGCGTAGTTGTTGAATCCATGATGAAGAGA